GTTCAGCAGAGTTTTGGTGGGGCGGCATGGTGTTGTCCCTCAGGGAACATCAGGGATAACCGGGAAAGGGTTGGGAGGAGGTTGGCGGCAGGTGGAAAGGTCAGGTGGAAAGGAAGGGTGGAGAAGACGGCAACAGCAAGAAGGAGCTAAGGGGATGGCAGGGAGCAGGGAAGGGCAATAGCAAGCAATAAAAGGAAAGATACCGCCTCGGGACGAGTTACAGTCAGTGCACCTTCTCGCCGTCGGATTTAGCCCTATAATGGGAAAAGAGGGACACCGGCGGTTGTCCTGACGGAAAAATCAGCAACAAAACTTAACCCTAGTGACAATAACATAACATAGATATAGTAGATAACTAGAAGAGGGAGACCCCTCCCAGTGAGTGGCAAACCTAATCCATAAACCTGCACTAGCACTGCTACCCTATTGGCTAACCCAGATCAGCTGATCCAACCGGTTCTGAACCAATTCAGCCCCCTAGGGAGCCCCGTGTTAGTCTCCTAAGGTTGGGAGAGCTTCGACCTCATTCGTCAATGCTTCTATCTACTCGTTGTCAGTGATGGAGTTGTTGTAATCTCCCGGGGCTGAAAGCTCTACGGCTGCGGTCTGCGAAGCACCTACATCCCACTAGTGACTACACCGTCCCCGAAGGCACCTGAGGATTTTTCCTCACTTGCAAGCAAACATCCACATCGGTTCAATCTTTTGGGAGCCCCCTGCTGAGCTGAGCTAGGTCTACATGTCATGTGTATACCGTTCAATACTCCCAACGTAATCCAAGGTCGGCTCAACCTGCTTTGAAGGGAGTGGTCGATTGTCACGCTAGTCAGTATACCTTTGTTGACCATCACGATGATGGTTTCGGTCTGTCTCCCTATTCTCCCACAGTGGTCTTCATGCCCGGGGCAGAAGAGTGGATGGTGACCATCCATTGGTCTCCATCCGTTGTTTTTTGGGCTCTCTTTCGCAGGAGACAATCAGACGATTCAGCTTTATGACAAGTGGGGTTGTCGACGTACTCCTCTGTGTCAATTTAAATGTTGGCCAACTCCAACAGTTCAGCCAGGGTTTATGACAGTTGCAAGCCTAGAGCATATTGAAATCTCTCTCCTCTCAACCCCTGGGATAAGGCTGCATGTGTTGCTCCAGGTTTCAGGCCCCGCGCTCCCAGCATCTCCTTCGGGAATCGAGTTATGTAAGCTTTTGTAGGCTCTCATGCTGGCCCTGTCTAACCTACCACGGAGCTTCGAGCCTTTCCACGACTTACACATGTTAGCAAATTGTGCCACGAACAACCTCTTAAAATCAGCAAAAGAGTTGATTATCCTAGCAAGTAATCCATTAAACCACCTGAGGGTTGATTCCCTCAACGTGGTGAAAAAAATATGGCACTTCAGCGCATCAGTAATCTTCAACAGACAAACAGGCAGACCTGAACGACATAATGTGGCCGTTTGGGCCAAAAGAACCCTTGTTAGGAGTCGAGACGCATTCTCTGACTGGCGTGGGGCCTCAGTAAGTTTGAAACGCTATTTGTCCAATGGTGCAGATCGAGCAAAGTCTTGGTACTAGGAGTCTCGTTGTCCTTCCGCGGCGTAGTTACTCTTGTTAGGCTCCGGCCTGTACTCCATATGGTTCAATTCTAGGAGTTCTACTCCATTCCCAGGGCCACTATTTCTCTGATGACCTCCATCATCAGGCCCATCATTTGGTCCCTTCTTGAATTTGTTGTTGTACAAACTCCCAAGTGCACTGTATATCACCTTTGTCTCTCTGGTGAGTTTCTTCTCCTCTTCTTAATGTTGGCATACTTCATGCTCACCGCATATTTTGGGATGAATCTAAAATTGTCCTGTGAGGCACACTCAATGAATAGAGCATAGGACATAAGAGAGAGGAAGAGAGAAAAAAAGAGAGAAAGAGAGTACAATAGAGTGAGCATGAGACTAGATTAGCCTAAACGATTCATTTCCACTTTAATATAGATATGACCCCCTATTTAAAGGCCAAGGGGATATAAAGTGTACAATTTCATGTTTGTACCTGTTCAAATAAGGAAGCCACAGAATATTTTGGTCATAAATAAATACATTAAAAGATAATAAAATAATCTTTGGCTCAACTGCCCCATCATTCGGTTGTCTAAGATTACTGGCCCTTGAGTCGACCAAGTTCATTGGTCAATTTTGTTGAGTCAAGGCAGGCAATCAATTCTCATATGATGGTCAGTTGATCGGCCCCACGGAAGATAGTCATCCGGCTTAGCTGAGGGCAGTCAGTCAACTTAGCTAAGAATAGTCGGTCGACTTGGCTAAGGATAGTCGGTCAACTTCTGTGGGTCTTTAGGTCGCCGAACATTATTTGGTCAGCTCTGTTGGTTTGATTGTTAGTCGTTGACCCCTTAAGTGGGATTCCTATTGTCAAGATAAGATTAGATTGTCAGGCAAAGAGCATATTGTCGTAATCCAACAGGTAGCTCACACCTTCAACTGGAGAACCATTGGAAAATTTATGTAGATGTCGCGCTGGGCACCTGAATAGTCTTGGCAAGTCTTGAGGGTTTCTCTAAGGTGAGTAGTGGCATTATTTTGCTTAGTCTATTGGGTTCCTTTCTTTGGTTAGGTTGACCTAAGGGTCTTTCGTTCGGCAAGCTTTGGACATGGTTTCAGGGGAGGTCGTGGTTATGTATCCGATCATGTGGGCTCACGTTAATGTGACATTTGAACACTTGTGGGTCATTTGTAACCATATTTGTTTTTCAATCCATAGGATCTCCTCAAGATTAATGCTGAAGTATTTTGAATGTACACTTATGAAATGTCTTGCACTCAAAAATATGTTCCACAGTTTGGAGTCATAAATGAATTCCTTTGAATCCATGCAGCCATCAAAATCTGATAAATTAATCTTTAACCTAAAAATCACTCTCATTTCTTCTATACTTAATGTCAAATGATAATTCATTGATTCTTTATCACTTGAGATTTCATTTGTTAAAAAAAAGTTAACCTCTTCTTCTCCATCTAGTTGGTCACTGTTATAATTATTTGTAATCTCACAATGTTATCTTCTTTCAAATTCAGCGATTTTATGCTATAATGGAAGAATCTATTTTCATACATCTTCCATGGTACTTTCAACATTTTTTTATGGATTTCTCCTTAATACCATGATGTTTTGCTCTACACTTAGGGTTTCGGGAAAGGATAGGGATAGGGTTCGGGTTTGGGGTTGGCAAAATTTTGATTTAAAATTTGGAGTGTGTATGGATGGTTTTGGTGGTGGGCTAAGGCGAGGAATGAAAATTCAGAAGTAGATGAAATGCAGTGTTTAAAAAAGCTCTGATACCAAATGATCTATATGATGATTAAGGATCAAAAAAGGGCTTGCGAGTGTTCGTAAAAAAATGAGAAGGGAAAAATTGAAAAAATAACAAGAACTCAAATATTAGAGGGGCGCTTGTTGATTTCTTCTCTGGAAAACAAAGAAGAGGACAGTCGATTATTATGTAAAAGGGATACGAGCATTGATGACGATCTATCAACAATTTTAGCTTAAGCTACAGATGCACCACTTAAAAAAGAAATAGGATAAAACACTCCAAAGAGAAGAAAAATTAGAGAAAGTAGTCTACAATCACATAAAAAAACCAAAATTCTTGGAAATATTTTAAACAATACATTTATAAAAATGAGGATAAAAATAATAGTTCTATTTTAAATAAGGTAAAATAGAGGCCCTAAGGGGTCAGGCTGACCTATGGACATGAAACTCCTCAACCACGCCGGTCTGCTCTCCCTCGGTTCCGCCTAAGTCATGGAACAAAAGTTACAACTGCGTCAACATCTTTCTATTACTAAACAATTTTGTTGTTTGTAGACTAAAAATATATTTATTGAGAGGTTTGATGGAGAAGTTCAGAGATAATAAGGAGAATCTACATTTGATTTTTATTGATTTAGAAAAAGCTTACGATAAGGTTCCAAGAGATATCCTTTGGAGAGTTCTCGAGAAGAAATGTTGTTGACTTATATTCAAGTCATTAAAGATATGTATACTAGAGTTGTTACATCCGTTCGAACTGAAGGAGGATTGACCAAATATCTTCCTATTTCTGTTGGATTACATCAGGGATCGGCTTTAAGCCCATAACTTTTTGCTTTAGTTATGGACGGTCTTACTAGACATTTACAGGAGGATGTACCTTGGTGTCTGATTTTTATTGATGATATCCTTCTCGAGGATAAGATGAGAGAAAAAGCCCAGGAAAAATTTGAATTATGAAGGTCTACGTTGGATTCTAAAGGCCTTCATTTAAGTAGAACTAAAACTGAATACATGGAATGTAATTTTAGTATGAGTAGCTCTAGTGACAGAAGTATGAATTTGGGTGATCAAATTATTAAAAGGTGTAAACGATTTAGATACCTTGGGTCCGTTGTTCAAAGCGATGGTGATATAGATGGGGATGTTAATAGTAGAATTCAAGTTGGTTGGTTGAAGTGGAGGAATGCTTCAGGCTTTTTGTGTGATAGAAAAGATTTAAACTGAAATAAGACGGTGGTGAGACCTGCAATGCTCTATGGCGTTGAATGTTGACCTTTAAATGAGAAGCATAATAATAAGTTTAAGTGTTGCCGAGATGAGAATGATTAGGTGGGTGAGTGGCTTTACACTTAGAGACAAAATGCGAAATGAATATATCCGTGATAGGGTTAGTGTAACTCCTGTGACGGACAAAATTAGAGAAAGTCGTCTTAGATGGTTTGGTCACATTAAACATCGACCATTTGATGATCCGATTAGGAGATTCAATGTTTTAGATTCGACTTGTGTTAAGAAAGACAGAGGTAGACCTAGGAAGACTTGGGCTTATTGTATAAAAAATGATCTTAATTTACTAGAACAAAATGAAAATATGACACTAAACAGAACGCAATGGAGAAAAAAGATTCATGTAGCTGACCCCACATAGTGGGATTAAGGCTTTGTTGTTGTTGTTGTTGTTGTTGTAGACTAAGAATATATACACAATGTCACCTAAGCTAAATCAACCATTCTAGCTAACAAAAAAAATCGAATCCAGAGCAAGTCAATCAACAAAAGAATATTAATTCAACATAAAAAAGACATCACTAAATTATATGATGATCTCTCCGAAGAGTTCACGTTTCCAAAGCTATTCATCTTAAAACATAAGTTGCGCAGGTTAATAACGGAAGTTGCCTAGGGTATTCATTAGGTTATCAAATGAACCAGATCAAAAATCAAATCTACTCGCCGGGTTTAAATGTAGTCACATATACTCTATCTAAACTCATCAATTATAGTCAGTTGCAGCATCACTTTAGTCTGACCTTAGAATTCATCAGAAGTACTTTAAATTATCAAAAAAGTTAAAAGATGGCTAAACATTCTCATTTTCCATCAAGCATTTGTTAAGTCTTGCCATATAATTTTACTTGAATTGTTAAAATGTAGCTTTTCTTATAACACCCGACTCAAAAATATAAATAAATAAAGGCATAAAAAGTGAACTAGACAAATTCAATCAATCATATCAGTCTTTTACTTACTGACAGTCGAATAGAATCACAAAGCTTCTCACTCTATGTTCTATTTTTCTCTCATCTTTTCTATTTAGTATAATCTTTTTGTAGCAAAGTTCTCATGCCACCCACTAACAAATGTGAATCTAACAAGATCATAAATTAAATCTTTAACAGCAAAATAACTAATGCCTTCTTATGTCATAAACTTTTAGTTTCACCAAAAAATAAATAAATAAATAAATAAAGTCTTCAATGCACACAAAATCAATCCCCAGATATTTGATGATACGATTTTTAATAATCAATAAAAAAACACAGAAAGATCTTCTCATTGCTCTCTGGCTTATCATCTTACTTTCCATAGCATAAGAATAAGAATTTACACTTACCTTCCACCACAAAACTAAAATGACTACCAAATATTAAAGTGATTGTCCTCAACCTTCGTTCCAAACTCTCCAGGAACTTCCTACCAATCTTGGACTAAGTTTTAGTGTTAAACATCATTTTCAAAGTTAACTAAACATGACATTTCAACACATCTATCTATCTATCTATCAATCAATCAATCAATACACACACACACACACACACACACACACATACAGATATATCTTCTATAAACATTCTCTTCTGAGATTTCATTGAGCAATTTTATGAAAATAGCTGTTCAAATATTCATTAAAGCCTTGCATATGTAGAAAATCTAATCATACAAATCTCCTTTTTTTCTCCTCTGTTAGTAACCAAACTACCAAATAAAAGCATCAGAAGTTATAATCTTAAATTTGTTTATTCCCTAACCTATTAGCAATTTTTGTAAGTTTGCAATTACAAATTGTCTCAACATTTATTTACTATAAATCATTAAAGTGTATTTTTGGGTAACATTTCAAATGAAAAAAAAATGAAAACATTAGAGAAATTTGATAACCTGCTTCCAATGATTCTGTCAACAGTTGTCCATTCAGGGCGTATGGCAATCCAGTCATCATCAGTGCCACCCATAGAATCCAACTGTTTCTGGAACGTGTTTAATCTACCCTTCAATCTGGAATTGACTTTGCAAGCTTTTTTAAATTCTTCCTCACTCACCCTGTCCAAATTCAAAGATATGCAATAAATAGACTATTTAAAAGAGTAGAAAAAGAGCAACTATAAAAAGAATAATAGCATGCTTTTCAAACATTTCATGCTCCTATGTATTAAAAAACATGATTATTTCCATTAACTACAAGTTAAAAAAAAGTTGAGAAGATTTAATAACTTGCAATAGCAAATGGTAAAATTAAACAATTGAAGATTACCAAGTACAATGAAGATAAGACAAGCTCTTCCACTTAACCAGATAATGTTTTACGCCTTTTTTTTTTGCCCCAGGCCCTGAAAGATCTTTTTCATCCTCTACAGTTGCACGAGTTTCACAATCTAAAATCTTATCAAGATCATTGAGAGGGTTGACCTGCAAGTTGCACGTATTCTAGTAGCATTTCAATTTTAAAGAAAAAAAATATCCACATTATGTACATAATGATTAATTAGTAAAGGTTCAATGTAGCCAAATTTCTCAAATGCTAGTATTATCACAAGGCTTGGAGTCAGGAAAAGCATACACATTCAGGGCAGCTCCAGCTATCATTAGCAGAAGCTTTCCCGGGATGAATTACACACTTCTGATGAAAAGAATAGGTGCAACTTCTACAGTCTAAGAGATTTCCACTTTCTCCACATGATTGGCATGCACTTTCTTTCTAAACAAGTGAAAAGCAATACATCAGTAGCAAATAAAAATATAAATTTCGATGACATTTTAACAGAATAAAAAAATATGAACTGTAAACCTTAAAACATAAAATGGGCCACTAACAGCAACATTCCAGTAAACATAATTTCTACTATAACTACCCAACCCCCCGCAAAAAAAAAAAACAATTTTTAATAAAAAATGTGATTTAAGTTAAGGATTATAAGTTATGGTTATTTTCTCTGAAGAATTTCAATGGTTTTTGAATTTATAACTAATTCAAAACGATAGAATGTTCTGATATAGATTTTAAGCCAGCGAATAGTAAAATAAACAACCAACTCATTTGCATTTTTATAGACTTTATCCCCTCCAGTAGGTACACATATAATACTTAAAGATCAGAGAAATCCTTTGCATCAAAACCTTGCATATCAATCAAAGTTATTTTTCATCGTAGCTTCACTTCCAAAAGCACGTGGTGAGACCGCACCAAAGCTCGTCTTATTTATCTCTATAAATAAATAAAAAGAAGCCTCGTTTATCCACTCATATTTTTACCACAGTAGACATGTCATTTGTTATCCATGATTTTTGTTTATACATACAAACCCTTATTCATTTTGAGATAATCAATCCGATATCACTATTCTATTATTGTATCAAAGCAGGGCAGGATCTTTGGGGTTTTAATCATATTCCATCCTCTATTTCTAAGTTTGAAATTGAAGCCTGGATAGGGTAAGAATCACAGTGCCTAATTTCATGTGTCTAAATTTCTTAGAAAAGTGCACATTTTGACTTGGTCTATTCAAATATATGATGTCCAAGTCATGACCCCTCTCATCTATTTTTGTTAATTTATTTCTCTCTTTTTGTTGACTATATCTAGAAAATTTGAGTTTATTTATTAGTGTTGGTCAAAAATTTTCATTATATATTAATCATCATGCATTCACACATCCCAAAAAATGGTGCAATCAAAAGTAATCACTATCATCTCTTCCAAATTGCTTATACCTTAATGCTTCACAGGAGAATTCTAAGATAATTTTTTAGAGATATCACTTTAACAGCCTAATTAAGTAATAATCATCTGTCATACATGGTTCTAAGTATGCCTAGGCCCTTTTTACTTCTTAATCCACTCATATTTTTCCTCTAACTGATATTTTCAATTATATTTATTTCATTCACTTTCTTAGTAATATATTTGATAAACCCTTCACTCATCATATTAAGTGTTTTTTTTTTTTTTTTCATTTGTTATTATTGTACTCATAAAGGTAATTAGTGATGGAGGCAATAAAGGCAGCCAATAAGACGATAACGGCAATAGTGACGATGGCGGTTGATGGCCAACAGTGGCGATGGTGGTTGATGGCCAAAAGTGGCAAATGGTCGTGGCCGACAAGGAAATGTGAAGGTAACCAACAAGATAGTCAATGATGTTCAATAGGGTTGATAGTGACCGACTATGTTGGGCAAAGGTAAACGGTGGGTGACGAATAATGATGATATTTATTTTTAAAACATTCGAAGCACTTAATAACTATATTAAGTTGCACAACTAAAATCAAGTTGCAAGTCAATAGAAATATGGCTAACAGTTAAAATATTTCAAGAAGGCTCATTTTCAACTTACATCCCCAACATGAAGAATATTCAAAAGTCCACCATTAGCCAAATAAACCTTTTCCATGATTCCCAACAACTTAGTTCACTATAATCTTGTAGTGGGCAGTGGTATGAAATGAAAAGTCTAAGGCGGAGTTTGGCTGCAACTTGATTTTACACTAAACAGGATTTGATAAATCATGTTAAATCTGGATTTTGATTTTACACTAAACAGGATTTGATAAATCATGTTAAATCTGGAT